TATTAGTCAAAGGACTCCTGAAGCACTTGGTGTTTAGAGATAATCTGCACAAATAGGTTTGGGAGCAAGAAGTTCACATCCTGTCCTAATATAATGAAATACGCATTTAGAATTTGGCCACTCATTCTTCTGCGCTTGGTCCTCTTCGTCTAACAGCTATGCGGGCTAGCCTTTTCAGGGGCTAATGAAAATGAATGATGAACTGTAATAACAGAAGTCGGGGTTGTTGAATCCTCCCCACCTCTGCCCTGCTACGCGGAGTGTTACATTAGCTTTTCTAATTGAGTTATGACATTATTATTTTAGTCAGCTGGAGGAAGGTTCTTGTTCAGGGAGACCGGTGAGCAGGCAGAAGGCATTTCAGGGTAGAAAATGCTCGCAGCTGCAAGACGAGGGAAAACCCAGGACATAATGCATATTTTCTGTCAAATGAGGAGAATTTATTTTGGCAGGCTTCACTCTGAGCCATTCTCCTCTAATGGCTCCTCTCAAAGGACAAACTGTCTTTCTTGGCACAGAATACAGAAGGAGGAGGCTGTCTGTCTTGTCGAGAAGCGAGAGAGAGACAATGACACTGAGCCTGGTTAGCCACAGGCTTTAACTCAGACATTGCATAATCTTGATGATGTCTGCTGTGTAGTTGTTAGAATTTTATGAAGCTAAAAGGTACGTTTGGACACGTGGTGGATGTTACAGAGGTTTAACAGCACAAAAAGCTGTTTCATTACGCGATGGAGCTCATTGATCTCATTGATCTCACAGGGTGTAGCTGTGGATAGATGTGAAAGCGCGATGCAATATTAGGACATTACTTCAGCGAGGTTACAGACGCCCTCCCGATACATGTGATTTATGAGTCAGACCTGGCATGCCTGTGTGTGACATCATGTCTTTGAGTGAGGACAGCTGTGTTTTTCTGTTTGTCTGTAGGGTTAATCTTACGATGAGACAGTGCAGCAAAAAGATGGATTTTTAAGGGAAATGTATGCAGGTTATATTGGCACAGGTTTTTTAAGTGAAGGGTGTAGGTGAGCCAAAAGGCTGAACTGCATCCAAAGATACTGCTCTTGTGAGCATTCCTGCAAATTCCTTGAGAAGCCGTATCTGTCTTCCTGAAGCGTTATCTTGCAGCTGTAGCTGTCATGTTTCTGGGTCTGCGTCGTGCTTTGCAGTTCTTTCACCGCGTTGAAAGCCGATTGCTAGCTGCAGCTTTTGCGTTTGATTTTTAAAACAGATGCTGATGAGGTAGATTCTCAGGCTGAGATTAGATGAAGGCCTGTTCGGCCCAGCTTGAAAAACGCAGCACAAAAGAACACTGATTGGAACTTTTCAAACGAGTTGCTCAGCAATGCTTTCTGTGCTATTTTTGCTTGCTCACAAGCTTTTTGTTGTCTCCCCTCCCCTCTTTCTTTTGCAACATGCTCAATTTGGATTTTCTCTTCTCTGTGATGCCCTTTTGCTCTTTTTTCTGTGTCTTCTGTCTTTCTTCCTGTCCAAACACCTCCGTTGCTCTCTGTCTCTCGGCCGCTCCTTCTGCCTGATTGTTGTGGCTCCAGTGTCTGTGGCTCCTCCGCCTCCTCCTCCTGTGGTCCAGCTGACCCCACAGATCCCCCTGACCGGCTTCGTGGCCAGAATGCAGGAGAGCAGTAAGTAGTAGAAAGCAGACAGAAACATACACTTATGTGGTATACCTGCATGTACCATTAAAGTTAGAAATGTAGACTGTACAAATACAGCCATGTGCAAAGTCACAGGTATGAACCTCAGCATGCACAAAATTTACACAACGTCACCAGTGCACTAGACAGGGCTCTGAGCACATTTCAGGACCCACACACCGCTACACTCACTCTACCTTATCGCGCTGGATGCATGGCTGAGGGTGGAGCACCAATCAGATGTCTGTCTGTTGCCATGGTGATAGATCACTGAAAGCTCTCAGTCCACTGAGGAGAGAAAATGTGACCCGCTGCTGCGTCCTGATTCACCAGCCTCTTGTCTGCAAAGACGCAGAGATCAAACTATCTGTGTCTCCTTAGTTCAATGAACCGAAGAACAGTTCTGCATGAGTCATGGAACGACATGAACAATGGAGTTAGTGTGTGTAGTTTGCACTTTTTAAACTGGCCTTAAATGAATAATTATTGCTAAATCAGCTGGTGGCTTTTCTCTTGTTTTTCTGGTGCACAGGAAGTGGCACGTTTTATATTTCCACCACCAGCAACAGGGATTAATGTGCATGTGGAAGAAGAGCTGATTGGTTAGTCTGAACACTAATCACTTTGACTAAACAAAGAAAAGGTCTGCTGCTGCTAAAAAGAGGTCACCTCTCAGAAAATACTGATGTTTAACGAGTGAGTTAAGAGAAAATGCCACAAAGAGAAGCACTTTAATACTAGGGAAAAAAACAAAGAAACGGGGACCAGTACAAGTGCCTTTTAATGTTTTTTTAATGGGAATGGTCTTGCTCTGTCTTTGCCTGAAGTATATTGCGTTACTAAAAGCCTAATGTATGTGGTGTTTATACAAGGGGAAATAAAACCAAAGTCAGCTATTGTTTTATAGCGAAGCGTTTTCAGCTGTTAACAGCTCCAAAGTGAGTTGTTGGACCTGTTGTAAAAAAGGTTATGCAGGCAGATTGGAGAGTTGCATTAATTTCAGTCCCCTGTGCCAGTTCTTTAATTCAAGAGCAAGCTTATGAATTAGATCAGATGTGCAGTTTCTCTTTAATCACTGGGCTCGAGACTACAAAGCTGCAGGGAGACCAGCTCCAAGAGGACTCTCGTAGCACGAGAACTTATTTGGTTAAAAGACTGAAAAATGTCGGGGCTTTCAAAATCACACCAGTCCACCCATTTTATCACGCCGTATTCTTGTGAAGTATGCGCTTGAGAAGTGCCGCTGTTCACTTCTCACGGGACGAATTTAAAAATGCAAATCATACAGTGTTACAGTACGTGTGCGATTGCATAACATAGCTACTAAATGAATTCTGTCATTTAAAAAAAGAAGAAAACACATTCAGGTGTGATTAAGCGCCACCGTTACTTAGACAACTACAGGATAAACTGAAGAACATGGCTGGTAGTTGTAGTACTAGAAGCATTAATAAATAGAAAGACTGCAACGGCTACTGAGGACAACTGTTCATGTCTTTGGTAATGTGTCCAGGAAAGTTTAGCATCCTCTGAGAGATTTCACATTTACAGAAGTGATACAGAGTGACTGTTTTATAATGTTAACTGAATATTTCGGGAACTTAAAACAGCCACTTGTAGTGCAGTAGATGTATTGATGTTTCATTATTAGGAAGTTTATAATAATAATAAATGATTAGTAAGTACATGAGTGAATGAGGGACTTGGATCAGTGCTAGTATTAACTGATGCTGCAGGATCAGTGTCCAATTAAAAACTAAAGGGACCCACAGCTGCCCTCTAGTGAGCAGTTAAATCACTGAACATTTAATGTGTGTACACAGTTAGAAGACTTGGAATGATTTAGATCATAGTTGCTTGATAATTATATATGTTAAAATAAATATAAGACCAGGCCATAACAGTAACATGTTGAAAAGATATATAGGATTTTGAAAGGTGAACACTATCACGGTGCAAGAGAACATTTTGAAATATCCCCAGACTGAGAGATCTGAACACACTCATTCCTCATTATTTCTTTAATGCCTTATCACCTCTGCTTCCTGCCGTGCTTTAGTAACAGACAGCCCAGCCCCACCTCCTCCACCTCCCCCAGAGGACATTAGTGTCTTTGAAGAGCCAGCTCCCCCTCCTCCGCCTCCACCTGTAGACTACGAGGAAGAGGAGGCCGCAGTGGTTCACTACAACGATCCCTACGCTGACGGAGACCCCCAGTGGGCTCCCAAGAATTACTTAGAGAAAGGTTAGTACCCCGAGTTAATCACTGTATTTAGACTTTCACCAGTGCAATGAGCCATTTTACTGTTTTTTTCATTTTCCACAGTTGTGGCCATTTACGACTACTCCAAGGACAAGGAGGACGAGCTGTCCTTCATGGAAGGGGCCATCATCTACATAATCAAGAAGAACGACGATGGCTGGTTCGAAGGCGTCTGCAACGGCGTCACTGGACTCTTCCCTGGAAACTATGTTGAGTCGATCATGCACTATGCCGACTAAAGAAAACAAACAAAAAAAACCCACACGTGATGGCGCTGCAGAGGTAATCCGTGAAGATGTACAGACGTATGCGGCGCAGCGATAGCAGTTCATACAGTTTTGAATGAAGTGCCATGGTGAATTAATAAGTAGTTTTCTTCTTTTGTGGGGAGAGGAAAGGGTTTGATCTGCCCTATTAAAAAAATAAATACGTAAATAAGATGCCGCACAAAGTAGGAGGGCGTTGAAGCTTTGCAAGACCTGTGTCTGGAAGTAAAGGCCTTTTTTTTCCACCACTGTCACATGGTAGGGCTCATCAAACAGCAACATTTTGCCTCACGACAAAATAACGTACATCAGTAACAACTTCAGTGGATACAGAGTAAATCTAGATGTAGTGTTGCTTTTTCCCGAGTATGCAGTAGATCCAGAAAGTGACGCACTGCTACAGTTTTACCGAGACAGTGTAACCGCTTTACGGTAAAGTGCTGCACACTTTTTCCTTCTCGTTTATTTGTACTGTAGACCATCAGACCAGCTCTTTCCTTCCTTTTGAAAAACAACGATCTTACATTATCAGAGACCTAAAAAGGACAAACGAACGTCATCAAGTGCATTAGGACACAGCTGAATGTGCCGTTGACGTCCAAATCACACAAGGTGTTTAAAAATATATATTAAGGAGGATAATGGCCAGATGGAGCTGTGTATTCAGTATGCTCTCTACTGTTACAAAAAGGGGGTGGGGGTTGAAGTGAGTGTACAGATTGATCGCAAAAAAAAGAAAAGAGTTTCTTCTTTCTGATGGAGTCTCTTTCTGTTCTCTAACTTGTATATAAACTGTAATGTGAGAAGCTGCCAGTACAGTACATTTGTCAGTGTGTTTCACCAGTGTTTCCATCAGCGTCAGTGGGTGGGGGGAAGGGTGTGGTGCCAAGAGTGGATGTTTTGAGAATTTTTTACTTTACTTTTTACTTTATTTTTACTTGAAAATTAATTTTATTCATCACCCACAGTGCCATTTTAACGTGATTCAGGCAAAGTGGTTGTGTACAGGCATTTATTTTTCTACGTTAGGTCACAACTATATCGTCTTGATCGCCATCACTGTATTTGTCGATGCTGTCCAGCTACTGTAGCAGAGCGCTCACGTGCTTGCTGCTTCGTGACGCGAAGCAGAGGAAGGACTAAAGTCGTGTGGCTTTTTTGTTTTTTTCATGTTGTTTCCATTGTGCACTGATTAGTTAGCGGTAACTGTGATGACTTTTATTTCCATCATGGCTTTTATCACAAACACAAGCGTTGCCATCTCCAAAGTATCAACTAACCTTTAGTTTGTTCTTTCAGTGGTTGCTGGTGCGGTGCTTTACATTGGTGCTTAATAACCATAATCACCAACCCAAACAACCTCAAGTCCAAGACTCCTCCCACACAGAAATGTAACAAAGGACTTTTAGTGTCGTTATCGATCGTTTTGATTGTAATCCTCGGCCACTTTTGTGTTTGTAGTGAATGTAGGTGACTCGGCGATGGTGATGTGCTTTAGCCGGAGTCGCTTTAT